AAAAAAAAAAAAAAGAAAACCACAAATATGCTCTGTGTGAACAGGTCCTGTCTAAATGCTAACACTAAATCATCTTGTACATACACACAAGGCTTAAACCACCACACATTTAGACCCTGGGCTTCCCTCAGGTTATACAGTTTGTAGAGTCAGGACTCTTACATTCTGCTTAGTTGGTCTGTTTACTCAGCAAATGTTTGCACATTTCTGAGGGAGTAGGCTCTGGGGATGCGAAAGTGAGCAAGATGTGTTCCTTCCTTAGGGACCCAGTCTTGCTCAGAGGACATGTGCCCGTCTTCCTTCTATTCTGTATTCCTTGTTCTCACCTGATACAGTCCTCTTTGTTTTAGGTTCATTTGTGGTTTGTTGTTTTGTGGGGAGTTTGACAGTTTTATTGAGATTAATGTATGTACCATACACTTCACCAATTTAAAGCATACAGTTCAGTGGTTTGTAATAAATTTTCTGAGTTTTACAATATCTCATTACCCCAAAAGAAACCCTCTCCTCATTATCAGTCACTCTTTTTTGCCCCAGCTCTCCAAGCCTAGGTGACTATTTAATACTAATCTGCTTTCTGTCTCCATGGGTTTGCCTACTGGGGACATTTCATATGATATGTGACTGCCTTCTTTCACTTAGAATAATGTTTTCAAGGTTCATCTATGCTGTAACATATGTTAATACTTAATTCTTTTTTTTCTTTTTTGAGACAGAGTCTCGCTATGTCGCCCTTGGTAGAGTGCTGTGGCCGCATAGCTCGCGGCAAACTCAAATTCTTGGGCTTAAGCAATTCTCTTGCCTCAGCCTCCCAAGTAGCTGGGACTACAGGTGCCCACCACAACACCTGGCTGTTTTTTTTGTTGCAGTTGTCATTGTTGTTTAGCAGGCCTGGGCCAGGTTTGAACCTGCCAGCTCCGGTATACATAGCCTGTGCCCTAACCACTGCGCTATGGGCGCCAAGCCTTCATTCCTTTTTATTGCTAACTAATGCTCCATTGTACGGATGTAACACATTTTGTTTATCCATCAGTTGAAGGACATTTAGGTTGTTTCTACTTTTTGGCTCTTAGAATAATGCTGCTATGAATATTTGTATACAGGTTTTTATGTGGGTATATGTTTTCATTTCTCTTGGTTATATACCTTGGAGTGGCATTACTGAGTCATGACATAGTTCTTGGTATATTGGTGGATTTATTTTTCCCTTCCCTTTTTCTAATCTCCTATCTTCTGCTTTTCGTTTTCTTTTTTTTTGGCCGGGGCTGGGTTTGAACCCGCCACCTCCAGCATATGGGCTTTGCGCCCCACTCCTTTGACATTTAAATCTTTCCTCATTATAGTGTAGTTTTATTTGCATTATTGTAATAAGCTTATGTACTGGGATCCCTCCATTATTATGCTGCAGAGAAATGGCTTCTTAAATATTAAGCCAGAAATATGAATAAAACAATAATCACTCAAAAGGATTGACAGAAATTGACATTTTCACTTTTTTTTTTGATAGAGTCTCAGTTTGACACCCTTGGTAGAATGCCTGGCATCATAGCTCACAGCAACCTCAAACTCTTGGGCTCAAATGATTCTCTTGCCTTGGCCTCCTGAGTAGCTGTGGCAGTCACCTGCCACAATGCCCAGATATTTTTAGAAACAGGGTATTGCTCTTGCTCAGGCTGGTCTCAGACTTCTGAGTTCAGGCAGTCCACCCTCGTTGGCCTCTCAGAGTGCTAAGATGACAGGCATGAGCTACCACACCCAGCCAGACATTTCCACTTTTGAGTAAATCCATTTAAAAAGACTAGAAGGTTCTAGCATCATGACATATGAGAAACAACTTTTTGTCGGGCATTTTTTTTATGTCTTTTTACTGCTTGCAAAGTAGGCCGAACCAGTATCTGTAGAGCTATAAAAGTATATATTTTCAAAACTTCCTTGTGGGTTTGAAAATGTTTGGATTGGCTCGGCGCCTGTGGCTCAACCCTAAGGTGGCGGGTTCGAATCCCCAGCCCGGGCCCGCCAAGAAAATGTTTGGATTATGAAAGTTTTAGGAAATGATTATACCATTTTGAAATGGCATTGATCAGCATGACCTTTTTGGTAACCCTCATACTCTTTGTCCCACTTCTTTGCTTGCCTTTTCTGCAGAGAACATATCACTGGTTTACATGCTATGTGTTTTACTTGTTTGATATCTTTCTCTCTTGCTTTTCCTATCCCTCATTAGAAAATAAATTTCCTGGCTCAGTGCCTGTAGCTCAAGCGGCTAAGGCGCCAGCCACATACACCAGAGCTGACAGGTTCGAATCCATTGTTGTTGGGCCTGCCAAACAACAATGACAACTACAACCAAAAAATAGCCGGGCGTTTTGGTGGGTGCCTGTAGTCCCAGCTACTTGGGAGGCAGAGGCAAGAGAATCACTTAAGCCTAAGAGTTTGAAGGTGGCTGTGAGCTGTTATGCCACAACACTACCCAAGGCAACAGCTTGAGGCTCTGTCTCTAAAAAAAGAAAAGAAAAGGAATTTCCTGAAGGTGATTTCTGTTTTCTTCATACTGTAAAGTACCTCAGTGCTTAGAACAATGTCTGACATGTAATAAGTGTCCTAAAAACTTGAATGAATAAACTCACTAATACCCACTTAGCCCCTTTGAGGATCAAATAAACACTAAAAACAATTTACCGAAATATTGTTGTATTTACAATTTTAGGAACTTCACAGACTTTGTGAAGCCTTTTTGTAGACAGGCCTAGATATAGAATTCCTGGCTTAGATAGAGTCAGGCATTCTTCGAGATTGTGAAATGTATCTACCCTTTAAGAGTGAAAAGAAACTCATGTGAAAGACTTTAGGAAATAGAGGAAATTCACTAGCCAATCAAAGCTGTTTTTATTTTCTTAAGACCAAGATTCAGGCTTGGTGCCTGTGGCTCAATGGCTAAGGCGCCAGCCACATACACCTAAGGTGGCAGGTTCAAATCCAGCCTGGGCCCACCAAACAACAATGATGACTGCAACCAAAAAATAGCCAGGCGTTGTGCCGGGCGCCTGTGGTCCCATCACAGCTGTGAGCTGTGATGCTACGGCACTCTACCCAGGGGGACAGCTTGAGGCTCTGTCTCAAAAAAAAAAACAACAAAAAAAAACAAGATTCAAAGACAGAAATATAAAAAAATTATAATGGTGCTATTGTATATGGCCACCTAACAAAGCATGCAGTACAGAACAGAACAGTCTGTGGTGTCTGAGTGAAATGACACAGTCTAGGATCTAGTGCAGCATTTGCCAGTGCTGTATTCAAGTAGGCCTTCTTTTTTTCTTTTCCTTGTTTTTTCTTTTTTTTAACTTTTGCGTAGCTTTGATTTCTGCAAACAAGTAAATACATGAATAAATAAAAGACTGAAAATGATTTATAGTTTTAGGCACAATGTTACTTCTGCTACCATATTTACAGTTCTTTGTAAGACAAAATCTAGAATATGTGCAGTGTTGCTATTGTTTTAACATCAGCAAAATTCACTGGAGTAGCTTACATCACTACAGATGGGAACATGTTAGACTTCAAAGGACTGTCCCAGAACCTAGGGTCAAAAGGAAATAGAGATTCAGGAATCCTACTCATTCTTTGCATTTCTAGTGGTCTGTGTGCCCTTTTGTCTCTTTCAGTGCCATTCTCCTCTTTCACAGACCAACATTCACTGTTTCACAGGGCAGGTGGCCCCTCTTCGTTGAGGTGCCCAGTAGAGATTCACTAGAATCCTTGCATCTTGTTTCCAAATCTAATGCAACCAGCTTGGATCAAGTGTAAATCTGTCGTCTGGTGAGCTTGCTGGGGGCTCAGGCTCTGGTAACGGCCTCTGTTAAGGGCCCTGGCCAGAGGTAGCAGATCTGCTATAGAGCGTAATGTTCAGGCAGTAATGCCACCAGCAGTCAGGACCAAAGGAAGGTCTGACCACACTGGGAGGAGAGGACTAGAGTTTGCCCTAATCTAGTCTGTTCATTCTTTGTTGACTGAATTTGTCAATAAACACAATAAAAGATGGTGTTTTATTTTAGGTGTACCAACAGTACCATTATTGCCACCAGTAAATCAGTCCCTCACTTCTGTGCCACCAATGAACCCAACTACTACATTACCAGGTAAGCAGCAGCGGACTAAAGATGTGGCTAGTGATAATAATACTACTAATACTTAGACCTTACAAAACAATGACAAATTGGCAAGTGAGATTATTCCCCAAAAAAAAAAAAAAACAGGTTTAGAAAACAATGAAAAGAATTGCACATATGCGGTGATTTTTTACGTCTTTTAATCTTATTTTATCTCTGTAGTAACTTTGTGATAAATGAGAGCAAGTGGCAGTTCAACTTAGTAGACAAAGAAACAGAAATCTTAATAGTTGCTGGCTTGTTAGCTGCCAAGCCTAAGGCTCCTTATCCTCGGCCAACTACCACCCCTAACCCGATAATTCAGTCTACTAAGGAATATATAGAAGTCCATTCTTTCTGATAGTTGTTCACATGAACAGACATCCTTATTTGAGTCTTCAGGAGCTCTAACATTAAATTTTTGTGTATTTTCTCTTTGTATTCCCAGTG